CACGAGTGACCCCCATGGGGGTGTGGTTCTGATACCTAAGACCCTCATCGATTCCCTGCTAACTGCACGGTCACTGTGGTCCCTGTTGCATGTGATGAGCTCTGTACCCTTCCTTCCTGGGTACACCAGTCCCTTCCTGGGACTGGTGGGTTGGGGGGTGGGGTCTTCCTCTGTCATAACCCCGCCCTGGTTTGTGGCAGCCCAGAGGGGCAGCCAGGGTGCAACTGAAGCCTGGGCCCTTTTTAAGATTTTCTTTATTTATTTTAGAGAGATGGGAAGGGAGGGTGAGAGGAAGAGAAACATCTATGCGCAAGAGATACACCAATTAGTTGCCTCTCACACACCCCCAGCTGGGGACCTGGTCCACAACTCAGGCCTGTGCCCTGACCGGGAGTGGAACCAGCGTCCTGATTCGAAGGCTGGCACTCGATCCACTGAGCCATACCAGCCAGGGCTAGTTTAAGCTTTTAAATGTTAATAGGTAAGCATAAGCAAGAAGATAAACCTTCATCCAACCTTTCAAAATGTGGTTATGTCCTGGAAACGTTTTCTGTGCTGTACGCTGGGTGTTGATCTTTCTGTTTTATAGCACACACTGTGTGTGCTGTCTGGGGCCGGCGTTCCCACCTTGCGGTCTGAAGCGTGCCTGTGACAGGTCACTGTTGAGACATTCAGGGCAGTTGGAGACAGCCCAGAGCTGAGTTCTGAGTTACTAATCTCTAAGGGATGCGACAAAAAAGTCCCATAGCAAACCCTCTGCTGGCCAGTGGGGCTGCACATGCAGCTGCCTGAGTGACTGATGTCCTGCTCTGCAAGTCTGGGCAGGAAACTCAAACCCCTTTGCTTGGCTGCCCCGGTGCCCCCAAAACAGTATGCTGCTGGACAAAGTGTCAGGGGCACGGTCCACACCCACCTGCCAGGATTGTCCACAGGGTCTGCCTGTCACCCAAGATCTGCTGCGCCTCTTTCAGCTCCCGTGACTTCTGCATGGTCACAGGATAGTGCTTATGGTGTGCTTAGAGGAAAAAAGTTGAAAAAACTGTCAGTTCTGCTCTAGCCAAGTCACCAAGGAGAGGGAGGAGACAGCATCGAGCCTGTGACATTCTTGACCATCTGTGACATTGCTGCCATCCCACATGAGGGTGTCCAGGGTCACGTGGGCCCGGCTATGGTGAGGAGACACACTGCCCAATACCAGAGACCCCTCTTAAATATGACCGGACACCTCAGTGTGTGGTCCACACTGCCATGTGTTAAGTAACCCACATGATCTCCTGAAAGCTGTCTGGCTGTGCCAGGTGTCTGCACCCTGTCTCTGCTAGGAGTAAGGGTGTGTGTCCCCGAGGGAGTCTATGCCGGAACAAGAGGCCTCCATCTGGCTGACCCCTCAGCCTGGTGACACCCGTGTCTTCCTTGCAGGGGATCCTCCTGGTGTATGACATCACCAACCGCTGGTCCTTTGATGGCATTGACCGGTGGATCAAGGAGATAGATGAGGTAGGTATCCCTGAAGACACCCCTTCCATGGGCACCCCCTTCCCAGGGCACGTGTATTCCCATCCCCCACTGGAGCCTCTCTGGCTCCCATGTGCTGCCTGTCCTTCCTTACACTGATCACCATTGTACTTGAAGGTCAGGGTCTCATGCCTCAAAAAGTCATGGTTCATGGTCTGAGCCCTACCTTGTCATTGAATCAGGGGATGGGGACAGCTCAGAGGGGGGGCACTCTGCATTCATGTCTATGCTGAGTCCTCTGCCCCCTCAAGCATGCACCTGGGGTCCCCCGGATCCTGGTCGGGAACCGGCTGCACCTGGCCTTCAAGCGGCAAGTTCCAACAGAGCAGGCACGTGCCTACGCAGAGAAGAACTGCATGACCTTCTTCGAGGTCAGCCCATTGTGCAACTTCAATGTCACCGAGTCCTTCACTGAGCTGTCCCGTATCGTGCTCATGCGGCATGGCATGGAGAAGATCTGGAGGCCCAACCGAGGTGAGGTGCAGCCAGGGGGGCCGCTGCGCCTGAGACCTGAGTGTTGCAGGCAGTGGACAGGTGACCTTCAGAGGTTGTGGTCCCTGCCAGGTGTCCAGGCTCCCCAGATGTAGAACTTCCACAATGCACTGCAGCTGAACCAGCTTCCATCCTGTATGTGCTTTGAATGGGGGCCCCGGAGTTATGAGAGGGAACTGTGCATTGCATCACGATGATGCCCTTGTGCTGTGGGGTGGGTGCTGTGGGCCCTACTGTGTCCTAGAGCAAGCAGGGGGATGGTTTCTAATCCCTGTGTACTACTCTGTCCCTCAGGCTCAAGCCACATCCCGCAGAGGTGCTAGTGTTCCTGGAAGCTTCAGCCTCCTGCGAGGTGCTGAGGCTGTCTCTAGGTGTGGGTGTGGGCTGGCTAAGCCCTCAGAAGTGAGGTCCCAAAAGACACTTCTCAGTAGGCAGCTCTAGGGAGAAAGCATGAGCAGGGCGCCATCTAGGGGCTGCTCCCGATGGTGCCTGGCATGGAGTGGAGTAGTGGAGCATCCAGACTCTTGGTCTAGAAACCTCCAGACCCCACTGAGCATCATTTGTGCTCATCTGGACAGGTGGCAGTTGGTTCCTCAGTGTTCTTCCCACCTTAGGTCCTTAGGCTCCGAGATCTCTTAACATCTCACTGCCTTTCCCTCCAGTCTGAACCCCCCTCTTCTGCCCACCCTCCCCGTGGTCTGACCCCCACCATAGTCGGATCCTCCCGCCGCCTGATACCTTCCCCATCACTGACCCCCTTCCCCCATGGTTTGACCCTTGTCATCTGACTCCCCCTCTCTGATCCCCCCACAGTGTTCAGCCTGCAGGACCTCTGTTGCCGAGCCATCGTCTCCTGCACCCCTGTGCACCTCATCGACAAGCTCCCGCTGCCCGTCACCATCAAGAGCCACCTCAAGTCCTTCTCAATGGCCAATGGCATGAACGCCGTCATGATGCACGGGCGCTCCTACTCGCTGGCCAGCGGGGCGGGGGGTAGCAGCAGCAAGGGCAACAGCCTCAAGAGGTCTAAGTCTATCCGCCCCCCACAAAGTCCCCCCCAGAACTGCTCCAGGAGCAACTGCAAGATCTCCTAGCAGGGCAAGCAGGCGCTGCCCATCTGGACGTGCTCGGGGAGCAAGGTCTCAGGCTTGGGGAAGCTCCTTGCCAGGGCGCTGGGACTCACCGTGTGCAGGGAAGACTTTGGCCACACGACCCCTCCCGGGAGCGTGGGGCACACCTAGGAGGCAGGTGGTCTTGGCCAGACAGGCCCGTAGGACAGCAGAGGCCGAGCTCTGAAACAAGCCCAAGTCCCCACATGCTCTGCCGGTCCCACCTCAAGGTCCTGCGGGCCTTGCTCACTTTCTTATTTATATAGAAGATACTTCACCACTTTTATACCTTTTTTAAGGGCCGACAGGGAAGCCTTAATGCAGCCACGGGGTGAGCTCATGTTCACTTGTGGGCATGAGCTTGGGGACATATGAGATGGTGCGACTGGAGGCAAAGATGGGAAGGAATCTGCTGTCACATACACTTCACATGGGATGTGGGCTATGTAGGGGCCAGTGGGGACACATGGAGCTTTGGGCAGCAATCTTGGACCCCACTACCCGTGCTGGCCTCTGAGCATGGTGGCTAGTGTGCGGGCAGTGGTGGGGGTATGGGCTCAACAGTCCGCACAGTTGGGGCTGCAGCTTCCTGGGTGGCGTCCCTGAGTGTAGCGGAGCCGTGGACTCCAAGCAGGGTGTCAGTGTTTTCTGGGAGAGGATAAGTGGGGTGCACCCCACATCCCTCCCCGTGTGGATGCACCTTTGGTCACTTTTACATGTGTCGCTATGTGAGACAGGCTCAGCCTCGCTGTGTAGAGAGATGCAGAGCCGTCTGTAGGTGACAAACACTCGAGGGGCCGCCAGGCACTCTGCAGGTTCGGACTGAGTCACAGCCCACTTGCCTTCCGGGCTTCGCAGGCTCGCTAGCTTCTGTTCCCTGACCTTGGGTGTCACCCATAGCTGCTCCTCGCCCAGGATTGCCCCTCCTTGAGGTCACATGTCACCAGAACCATTCTGACCCAGTTCTTAGGCCACCTGGAGCAGTCACAGCAGGGGCCCTCCTCCTGACGAGGCAGCCAGCCCTGAGCTGGGGGCCTGACCTCCTTCTGCCTGCCTGGCTCGTGACATGGCTGCTGGTCACTGGTGCTCAACTCTACCTCCTGCTGGGCTCTCCCTGGGCCTGCGACGCCCTCACTCTGGGACTCCTCTGCAGTGGGTGCCCTGGGGGAGCCCTCCCCTGCTGTTCCGGGAGGCAAGTTGGGCAGGGGCTGTGGCCCACGAGAGCCAGGGCGCCTGGGGACCCTGACCAAGGCCTGGCCACCAGCAGGGTCAGACAGAGGCGCTCCGGCTGTCCTGTCCTGCCAGTGGAGCCCCTTCTGTGGACTTTGAACCAAATAACCTGGACTTTATTTTGAGGGTGTGGACGGTCCTGCGTTCACCACATAAACACTACCCTTTGCTGCTGACACTGGCACCATTCCTGAGCTCATTTGGGACATTTTTTTTTTTCTTTGTACAGTAAATGTAACTCAGCTCTGACCTCCAGGCTACATTTTATGTGAATTAAAGTTTCTGGTTTTACCTGGCTGGTGGGTTGGAGGTGTGATGTGGTGGAGTGGGTTTGTATTCTCACAGGATGGGTCGGGTCCGGGGCTGCTTTGTGGATCCCTCCATTGCCTGTTACCGGTCTTGCTGACAGGGTACACACCCTGGCCGTGAGGCCTAAGTGTGGCTGCTTCAGCCTCCCAAGTTACAGGCGAGCTATGTTTCTCAGTGGGCCAGGCAGGCATCCCTCCCAGCCTGTTCCTCCCTGTTCAGTAGCGAAGCAGATGGCTCAGGGTACCACCTGCTTCCTTATTCCCCAAGGGCTGGAGCCTGGGACCTTGAACCCTTGCTGAGGGCCTGGCAGGGCCTAACCAGTGAGTTCACTGCTGCCCGAGAGGGTGGTGAACACAGACCCAGAGATGCAGGCGGTAGGCCGGCCCTGAATCTTCAGCCCTGAGGAGTGGGGCCCTGGGCTACGCTGGACACCCTGGAGGTCAGTGGGAATAGGGACACCGTTGTACTTGAATGTTACCCCCACACTTGGGGCCTACTCAGGCTACAGCTTTGTGGGAGGGTTCTGAGCCTTGAGCTCTGTCCAAAATCTGGCGGGGTGCCCCCCACCCCCATGCCTGAGGCCCCTCTCAGGGCAGACCAGTGGTGTCCTCTGCATCTGGGGTGTCTCTTGGTCTTAATTCTGACCAGACCAAGCTCTTACCACCCTGCTTCCTGGATCAGAAGGTCAGACACAGGGTCTCGGGGATGTTTTCCATCTCAAAGCAGATGCTCCTGGGGCCCCAGACCCCAGGGAAGGGTTTGGAAGGGCCGATTCTGGCGGCCCCTGTGTTTGATCTCCCTTCCCCCTCCTTCCGGGTCCTGAACCCGGGCTGGGAGGGTCTATGAGACTGCTTTGATCCCCAGAGCCCAAGGCCTGGATGGAGGAGGGCCTCGGGTTACAGTGTCCCCTCCCCTCCCCACTCCGGCCACAGCCGGCCCTTCTCCGCCCCTCAGTAACCCTCGTGGCCAGTGCCTCCTTGCTCCGGGGCCTCAGCCCCTCCCCCCACCAACGCCCCTGCCCTAGGTTGATCGGAGGGGCCAGGCTGGGAAAGGGGTCGAGCCAGAGCTCAGAGAGATTTGGAACCTAGCCAGCCCTTCATATAAGGGCGTTGAGAGCATCTGCTTTGGGCTCAGACCTGGGGGTCCAAAGAAGAGCCCAGAGGATCGACTAGGGGCCCACGGTCAGGGGCGCTGACCACAGACCTGGGAGGGTGGATGCCTGAAAGGATCAGGTAAAGCGGGGCCTGAAGCACTGGTAGCCACACACCCCTGCCCCTGGGCCAGTGGTCCCCATGTCAGCCCCGAGGCTGCTCCTGCCGCTACTCCTCGTGGTTGGGCTGACCTCGGAGGCCAGCCTGCTGCAGGGGCCTGGAAGCCACCCAGGCGTGTGCCCCAACCAGCTCAGCCCCAACCTGTGGGTGGATGCCCAGAGCACATGTGAGCGCCAGTGCGTCGGGGACCAGGTGAGTGTGGGCACCATACCCACCCACAGGGTGGGGGTTCCAGGAAACGAGAGTGACCTGGGGGGAACCCAGACTGCACCCTTGCCCCCAGCCCTTGCAGTCCACTTCCTCCTACACTCCTGCAGGGGTTTTAGGCCATGCTTCCTATGAGGGTCTCAAGGACCCCCAGTCTTTGTCCTCATCACTCCAAAACCTGCCCATCCCTACTAATCAATAAGAATAGTCTCTGAGTGTCTTTTCCCCTCTGTGTGTATTGTTTTTAATTGAGTTAATCAGATACCACCATTAGGTTATGCATATTCAGTCTCAGGACTAGCCAGGTAGAAAGGCAGGAGCCACATTTTGAAGTCCCACCTTCACAGCCTGGCCATGCGTCCCCTGAAGGGGCCTTGAACATGCTGCCTGCCTTCCCTGGGCCTCAGGGTTCTCATCTGTACTGAGAGTAATAACGGAGCCTGCTCTGGAGGATGGTCCGAGGGCTCACTGAGATGACACACAGGACTGGTCAGTGAGGCAGCTGTAGCACTGGATATAAAGCACATTTGTACAAACCTCAGCTTTCCAGAGGGGAAACGGAGGCTCAGGTAGACACACTAGGGGCACACCCTAACTGGCAAAGCCAGTACCCTGGGCGGGGCTGGGGGGTGGCATTTGGGCACCTGCTGAGCTGCCCCCCACCCCCCAGGACTGCTTGGCCACTGAGAAGTGCTGCACCAACGTGTGCGGGCTGCAGAGCTGTGTGGCTGCCCGCTTCCCAGAGGGTGGCCTGGCGACGCCTGCGCTGGTGGCCTCGTGCGAGGGCTTCTCGTGCCCACAGCAGGGCTCTGACTGCGACATCTGGGACGGGCAGCCTGTGTGCCGCTGCCGTGATCGCTGTGAGAAGGAGCCCAGCTTCACCTGTGCCTCAGATGGCCTCACCTACTACAATCGCTGCTACATGGATGCGGAGGCCTGCCTACGTGGCCTCCGCCTGCATGTCGTGCCCTGCAAACACATCCTCAGCTGGCCACCCAGCAGCCCAGGGCCACCTGAGACCACTGTCCGCCCGACACCTGGGGACACCCCTGTGCCACCTGCCCTCTATAGCAGCCCTTCCCCACAGGTGGTGTATGTAGGGGGCACTGCCAGCCTCCACTGCGATGTCAGTGGCCGTCCACCACCCGCTGTGACCTGGGAGAAGCAGAGTGATCAGCGGGAGAACCTGATCATGCGGCCAGACCAGATGTATGGCAACGTGGTAGTCACCAGCATTGGGCAGCTGGTGCTTTACAATGCCCGGCCTGAGGATGCTGGTCTCTACACCTGCACTGCACGCAACGCTGCCGGCCTGCTGCGGGCTGACTTCCCACTCTCCGTGGTCCAGCGGGATCCAGCCAGGGACAGGGCCCCCAGCACCCCTGCTGAGTGCCTGCCCAACACACAGGCCTGTGCTGGCCCCCTCTCTGGCCGTGTCCTCTGGCACTTTGACCCACAGCGGGGTGGCTGCATGACCTTCCCAACTGGCAGCTGTGATGGAGATGCCCAGGGCTTTGAGACCTACGAGGAGTGCCAGCAAGCCTGTGCCCACGGACCCGGGGATAACTGCGTGCTGCCGGCCGTGCAGGGCCCCTGCCAGGGCTGGGAGCCACGCTGGGCCTACAGCCCGCTGTTGCAGCAGTGCCACCCCTTCGTGTATGGTGGCTGTGAAGGCAACGGCAACAACTTCGAGAGCCAAGAGAGCTGTGAGGATGCCTGCCCTGTGCCGCGCATGCCGCCCTGCCGGGCCTGCCGTCTCAGAAGCAAGCTGGCGCTGAGCCTGTGCCGCAGTGATTTTGCCATCGTAGGGCGGCTCACAGAGGTAGTGGAGGAGTCCGAGGCGGGCAGCAGTAGCATTGCCCGCGTGGCTCTAGATGATGTGCTCAAGGATGACAAGATGGGCCTCAGGTTCTTGGGCACCAAGTATCTGGAGGTAACGCTGAGTGGCATGGACCGGGCCTGCCCCTGCCCCAATGTGACAGCGGGTGATGGCCCGCTGGTTATTATGGGTGAAGTGCGAGACGGTGTGGCCGTCCTGGACGCTGGCAGCTACATCCGCATTGCCAGCGAGAAGCGCATCAAGAAGATCTCAGAGCTGCTAGAGAAGAGGGCCTGCGAGTTACTCAACCGCTTCCAGGACTAGCCCCACCTACCTGTCCCTGTCATTCAGTCCTCCCAGCCCCCTCAAATAAAAATGTTTCTCAGGAGGGAACTTGTGGGTGCCGGTGCTGAGCCTCCCAGGGTTACTATTTTTCCCTCTTTCAGTCTGTAATCCAGCTGGGGTCCTGCCACCAAACTGGGGCTTTGGCTCCAGTCCAAAATCACCAGAGACTCCCTCCTGGGGAGCCTCCTGTCTCCCTGCAGAAGTATAGACCTGCACCAGGTCTGGGGGTGGGCACCACTTCTGGTGGTAGGGCCATGCAGTCAGTTCAGTCCTGCCTCAGCAGTCCCTGGGTCCTCTCCCTTCCTTCTCTGTTGCCTGAGTGGAACAGCAGGGCCCAAGACGTCCCCAAGCCCTGACCCCACAGGCTAGACTCCTCCTGCCCCAGAAATGGAGGCCTTAGAGACACAGCCTGCCCACCTAGCACCACCAGAGGTGCTCCCAGGAGGCAGAGTAGACTCATAGGACAGCAGGAAGGACTTTATTCCCAGGCTCTCAGCAGCCCTGTGGACACTGATCAAGAGCCCCCAAATGGGCAGGGTTAGTCCCCATGACCTGGTCTGGGGAGGCAGGGGCTGGCTGTCTGGGTCTGTCCCAGAAGAGGCCCACTGGGGACACAGGCATGCGAGAGAAGGAGGGGTTATTCTTTCCGAAAAATCAAGCACTTGTTGTTGGCTGGCATATCCACCTGGGAGAGATGCTTGGCTGGAGAAGCTGCCCAGGGTGGCCACCCAGGCCCCACCAGCCCTCCCACCTACCATCTTCTCCAGGAGCAGGCCACTGGCACAGCCCAGGTCCTCCAAGAAGGCTGTATCCCGAAGTCCCCACTCTGGGTTCCTGCAGGGGGGGAAGAGGTAGAGTTAGGGGGGTCACCCTGCTCACCTGCCCTCCCAGACAGGCCCCTCCCCTTCCCAGCTCTAACCTGCTTCTGAGGGTGAGGTCAAAGTCCACGTTACTCTGTGGAGAGATCTTCCCGTTGACAGCATAGGGCTGTGGAGACAGGGCACAGCTCTGTCCACCGCCCCAGGGTCAGATATTCTTCAGTCGGCCACTGGGCAGACTGGCAGACTGGTGCCCAGAGGATGAAAAGGACACACTGCTCCCCCTGGATGTCCAGGGGGTGCACAGAGACTTTTTTTTTTTTTTGTAAATTCCATAGAGAAAGGAAGGGGGGGGGGTGGACATCGGTGGCTGCCTCCCAGCATGTGCCCTGACTGGAAGTGAATTTGGATGGCTCTAGATTGGTCTACTGAACAATACTCCAACCAACTGAGCCACACCAGCCAGGGCCAAGGAGACTGTCAGAGAGGGGAAGATCTGGGTCTGTTTCAATGGTGACAGGTAGTGGGAGAGAAAGTAACTGAAAATACTGAGACAGGAGTCCAGAAAGGAGGGGACAGCTGAGGCTGGCTGGAATCATCTGGCCAGGGGAGTTCCATCTGAGGCAGGAGCACTCACCCCATAGGTGATGAGCAGCGCCTTGGGTTTGAGCAGGCGTCCTGCTGCTCTGAAGAGCCCCTGGGGAGGGGAGAGGCAGGGTGGCGGTGAGGAACTTTCCCCAGGCCTCCAAAAGAGCACTTGTCTGGGGCTGGAGACTCAACCTGATCTCTCCAGGCCTCAGTGCCTTATGAAAGCGGGCAAGCCTAGCACCCCGCTCCCTTCCAACGCAAAGAAAAGGGTGACGCATGGGGCAGGTAGCTGGCCCTTGGGTGGCTGGTCCATGCTCCCACAGACCTTGGTGCAGTTCAGGGGGCTGATGTGGATCATGTTAATGCAGAGCAGCAGATCCAGCGACTGCGGCAGGATCCCGCCCCAGTGCTCCCAATCCCAGGTCACGTCCAGGTACAGCGGGGCCTTCACGTTGGACAGCCCCTGGGCTTGAGTGGTGGCCGAGATGCTGTCGGAGGGAAGCCCGACTGTGGGAGTGGCCTGCACACCCGTTCCCGACACCACCTGCAGCCCAGCTCACAGAGGTCACAGTGGCGTCGGAGGCCGGGGTTCGGGAACTGGGCCCACTTTCACCACGCGGGGGCCCGCCCTCCCCTGCACCTTTCCAGGCAGCGCTGGTCCACGTCGGACGGCTGCCACTCAGCATAGGGGAAGGCCCGAGCGAAGTGGGCCGCGTGCTGGCCGGAGCCGGAGGCCACTTCAAGTACGCGGACGCCGCGCTGGGCTGGGTCCATGTACTGTCGCAGCACACGCAAGATAGGTTCCTTGTTCCGCTCGGCGGCCGCTGCTACCATCATGACCACGCAGCTAGTAGGCCAGGAGCTGTAGTCCGCTCGCTGCGAGGCCCGCCGGGAGTTGTAGTCCGGCGGCCTCGAAACTCGCCTCCATGGACTACAGTTCCCAGCAGGACACATGCAGCGGCTTAAAGGGCAGACAATCCTCTGGAGGTGTGCCGGGAGTGGCATCTTTAGTGGGGCACCGGGTGGAGAGTTTGGGCCGCTGGAGTGTAGACGCTCCTCGGCTCAGCACCCTCTCGCCACGGCTACCCCAACATTTTCAGAGGACTTGTGACCCTGAAACTGTTGTTCGTGCTGCTCCGGAATGAATGGTTCCCATATACTTCCAATTTTCTCTTCTCGAAATTTCTGATGTCTCCCATAGTTGGTTTTGTTTTGTGGGGGGTTTTTTTTTTTTTTGAGATGGGCAGGAAAAAAGCTAAAAGTGAACAAGTGCGCCGCCCGGGAATCGAACCCGGGTCGCAAGAATGGGAATCTTGCATGATACCACTACACCAGCGGCGCCTGTTGCATTGCTCATCGCTCGCGATACTTAGGAGGTTATGATGCAACCTCCTCGTGCTCATTAACATTCAAACACGCGCGCCGCAACACCGCTACGTCGCTGCAGAGCCTAGTGTGCCGCAGCCCTCAACTAGGGTAGGAGCCTCGTTCAGCTGGCGTCTACGGTAGTGGGAGTTCTCGCAGTGGCAGTGTCGCTTGGGCGCGCGGCGCTCGAGGGGAAGGAGAGGGGATGAGAGACAGGGACTGTGGTCTGCCGGAATTCTGACCTATGCTCTGGAAACCATGGCAACCGGGGGGTTTCCGGAGCCGAAGGGGGCGGGGGTTCACGGCGGGTTCCTATTGGGGCGGAGCTTCCGGTGGGCAAGGTTGCGGCTGGGCGGGTAGTCCTAGTTTGCAGGAACTGGTCAGGCCTGAGGGAGGGGTTTCTGTGTCACGGTTTGTGTGTGACACTGAGGTGACCATCGCTAGCCCGGGGTCGGGGGATGTTCTGAGGGGTCTATGACCCCTAAATCAAATTGGAGGCTGATTTGTGTCCAGAGTCCTTCCTCGGTTTCAGCTTGGGGTTTGTGTTTCACAGAAGCCCTTTTTCGCAGGCTGAGTGCCGTGCCCTGCAAGTCAAGACGAGCTTATCTCCTTTGATGGGAAGATTTTCACGAGCGATACCCTCTAATCGACGGCTCTCAGACCCTAGCCCAGACCCGAGCCTGGGATTTCCCGCCAGGGGGCGTGCTGGGTCTGAGCAGGGGCCCGGGTGTGGGTCCGGTCAGACGTGGAGGGAGCTGAGTGGTGCGGGGTTGGCCGGCCCTGGCAGGCCCCCTGGGAGAGTCCCACTTAGCGGGCGCGCGGGCCTCCCGCCCTCCCGGAAGACCCGCTGGCATTCTGCGTTGTGACCACTAGACTTGAAGTGTGTTCTTTCCCATTTAACAATCTTGACTCGTTTTTTGCCTCACTTTCTCCCGGTTTGTGGGCTGAGCATTTTGCGTGTCTCAGGGTGGAGAGAGGTGTCTCTCAATGCACATCCCTTCCCCTCACCCGTGACCAGTGACGGTCTCCGGTGGTCCCACTGCCTGCAACTCTCACCACCCAGGCCCCTCAACATTCCTAGTCCACCTGGAGGCACCATCTTCCTGCTGGCTTCACCTGGGATTCCCTGGGCACCGGCCACCTCGTGATATCGTCAAATAATAAATATGTATTCCGTCTTTGTTCCAGTTCCTGGCACAGAGCTCCTAAAACATTGAGATTTCCCGAGTGATGGAGTGAGGGGAGCTTCTGTTATTAATGAGCCCCTTTCAGCTGTACCTTGGGTTTATACTGCTGACGCGCTACTCTTAGAGGATGAGGACTGGTTGCCAGGGGGATACACCTTGCCAGGGGGTGGGAACTTTCAGCTGGGCTCCTGACCTCGCTGGAGGTTGAGGGGCTGGAGACTGAACTGATCACCAATGACCAATGACTTAGTCAACCGTACTGTGTAATGGAACATCCATAAAAACCCTACATGAAGGGGTTTGGGAACCTGGGTTAGTAAATGTGAAGTGCTGGGCAGGCAGCGCTCCTGGAGAGGACACACGCTCCACACCCTTCCCACACCTTCCCCGTGCATCTACCGTCTGCGCTTCCCCAGGTGTGTCCTCTATGACAGGTCAGTAAACAGAATGAAAGTGTTTCCCTGAGTTCTGGGAGCCCTTCTGAAGCAGGTCAGTTGTGGGAACCCCACTTTATAGCTGGCCTGTCAAAAGCACAGAGAACTGGAGAACTGCTTGGTGACGACACATTTGATGTCAGAAGCATTATATAGAAAAAGTTTTCCTTTATACCCCATGCCCATTGGGCGGGGGGGGGGACCCTGAGACTGACCCATCTGCCTGTTTCCCCCATGTCATATGGGCTGCTTTAAGAAACTGCTCAAATGCCCATCAGTAATTTTGGCTTAATAGTACTTGATCTCAGGTTGATAACTACCTGTCTTGTCCATCACTCTAGGCTGGATACTGTGTGAGCTAATATCTGCCCTCAGTACTCACCAAACTCAGCTTGGGACAGATGCAGCTGGACGAGGCTGAGTGGCCGCCTTTGCTGGAGAGTGTGAATGTGTGCATGGATGAGCTTATGTGAACACATGTGAGCACACGTTTTCTGAGTCATCTTGGATGTGCATCAGACTCGGAGTGCCCACAGTGCAGCACCTCCCTCTGGTGTTGGCCTCAGGCCTCAGCCCAGGGCCCGGCCTCACTTCCTCCTTCAAAGGAGGCACATCCGGTACTGCACTTTCACCTCCAGGCCTGTCTTGGGGGCTGTGCACGGGAGGTGCTCAGGAGGTGCCCAGTGACCAAGAGGTTCCCGGGCAAGGTCGCCTACCTCCTCTATCACACTCACCCACAAAGGGGCTGTGGAGGAAGCAACCCTCAGTGCTGGCCCCAAGATAGCCAGAGCCAACAGCAGGGCCCAAGCCTATGTGCCCACCATTCATTGAGCCCCCTTCACCACCCCAGTTGGAGTCCTCGCTTCCTCCCAGGCCCTCCACATACCCTGGGTGCTTCCCCTCCAGTTTCCTTGCCCACTCTCATTGTCCTTGGTATATCTGCTGTAACAAATTACCCTAAAACTTGGTGGCTTAAAACAATACTTATTTATTTTCTCAGTTCTGGACACCAGAAATCCAAAATAAAGATGTTAGCCCTGGCTGATGTGTCTCATTTGGTTGGAGTGTCATCCTGTAGACCTAAAGGCTGCGGGTTCAATGGGGCGTGTACCAGAAGACAACCGATGGATGTTTCTCTCTCTCCCCACCCCTCTCTAAAAGCAATGAAAAAATGTGCTCAGGTTAGGATAAAAACTAATAATAAAATAAAGGTGTCAACTCACCTGGCTGGCGTAGCTCAGTGGATTGAGTGCGGGCTGCAAACCAAAGTGTCGCAGGTTCGATTCCCAGTCAGGGTACATGCCTGGGTTGTAGACCATGACCCCCAGCAACTGCACATTGGTGTTTCTCTATCTCCCTCCCTTCCCTCTCTAAAAATAAATAAATAAAATCTTTAAAAAAATTTTTTTAAAGGTGTCAACTCCCGCAAAGCCCATAGGAGTTTCCTTCCTCACCACTTCCTAGGGGCTCCCAGCATTCCTGGGCTTGTGGCCACCTCACTCCAGATTGCCTCCATCTTCACCTGGCCATTGCCTTGTGTGTTTCTGTGACCAAATAACCCTCTCCTTTCTCTTACACGGACACTTACTGGATTTAGGGCACACCCTAATCTAGGATGACTGTATCTCACAAACTTTACCTTATTTATTCCAAGTAAGTTCACATTCTGAGGTTTGTGGTGCACATGTCTTTTGGGGGCCACCGTTCAACCCACTGCACTCGGGTTTGGGAATGGACTGGGCAGTCCCTAGAAGCTGGGCAGTGAATGTGGGAGCATCCAGCCAGAGCCTTTTCCTGGGGGCTACTGGCCACTCCTCTGCTGGCAGGAGTCCATTCTCTAGTCTGGGTTGGTGAGGGCATGGCTTTCAGAGCTGGAAAGTGATTAAGGATGACTGAAAAGGTAAACTTCTTTCTTCTTTTACATAAAATTTTAGTATTGTATCTAGAAACTTTTTTTAAGATTTTATTTATTTTTAGAGAGAGGGGAAGGAAGGGAGAAAGTGAGGGAGAGAAACATAAATGTATGGTTGTCTCTCACGTGCCTCCCATTAGGCACCCAGCCTGCAACCCAGGCAGGTGCCCTGACTGGAAATCGAACCAGTGACCCTTTGGTTCACAGCCCGTCCTCAATCCACTGAACTATACCAGCCAGCCAGGGCTCTAGAAACTTTTTTAGGGTAGAAGATGCAACGGGAGAGAGCCTAGGTGGTGCTCTGCTTTGGCTTTTGTAGAAATGTTAATAGGAAAGAAGTGAGGCAAGACAGGGCTGCTGCTAGCTCACTGGAAAGTCAGAGGAAAGGGGGCCTTGGGGACAGGTTTGGGGCGGGGGAGGGTTAGCCTGGGACGAGCTGCTGCTGCTGCCTGTTTGCTCTCCTGGTTGCAAGTCTCGAGGAGACCCTTGGAGTTTAGAAGAAAAGTGAAGATGCAGGCCTGAGAGGGAAAGGTGGGGGTGTGCTCCAGAGAGAGCCCCCTAGCATCTTTGTAAAGAGAAAAGCGGTACTTGTTTTTATCACAATAACCAGGGTCTGTGAGGCAAAGGCCTTTTTTTACTCCGACAACCATTTTTCTGCATGCTGGCTGAGGCCCCTCCCTGTCCAACTCCAGGATGGGTTTCTAACATGTCTAATAGGGGAAAGTTGCTGGCTGCAGAACGCTGCCTCGGCAGAACCCAACGTTACAGATGGGATGATCCAGTATTACATAAAATTTCCCAGGGCTGAAAGAGCAAAGAGAGAGGTTAACAATTAATGTGGCAGGGTAAGGGGTTATATGGGACAGTGGAAGGTGGGTGGGGGTACTGGTGTGCAGTCTGCCCAAGCTAAGGGAAGAAACACGTGCTTGCCTGGGGAAGGGCGATGATGGCCTGTCCTGGGAACCAGCACAACCCAGCATGCCT